GCAGGACTCCACTGCCGCCCGCGCCCCGCCCCATCTGGCCGCTTGCGCGCCCCCATCCCCCCTCGATGGGGCCCGCCCACACCGGGGCCTCCCCCCTCCCGCCCACTGCTTTCTCAACGGCCCCGAGCCGGGGCTGCCCTCATTGCATACATAGTGCGCCTTTCCCTGCTTTTCTAGTGACCTAGCGTTCCGCACTGCCGTTTGGCCAGCCCATGCTCCCGTACCGTTGCGTTTCTCCCCAATGCGCCATGCCACTTTGCCAGTCATACACACGTTTCGATGCGTGCCCTGTCAGCTGCTTGCGTTGCATGTCGCCTTGCTCCACCCCTGTTTTATTGCTTTCTCTGCTTTCGCCCGGTTCCCGTCCCGTTTCGGCGGGGAGTCTATGTTGCAAGCTAGTTCTTGCTTTACCAGACTTTAAGCCCACACAAGCCACCTCGCCCGCGTGCTTCCCCACCTCATCCACCACAGGCAAGGAGATGCGGTGCCTGTGTGTGTCGCTCTCCAGGAAGGGATCCAGCCCAAGGCTGCCCGCCGCCACATACTCGTGCCCGTCTCCGCCGGCGGGGCGGAACAGCACCAGCTTAAGGCGCTGTGCGTGGGGGCGGCTTACTGGACACTCCAGGTCCTGTGGGGCAAGGGTCGACGCTTGCAGGAATATGAATGGGGCAAGGCGGCGTGCGCCGCGGCGGACCCTCTCGGTGCCCTGCCGCCGCTCGACAGACCTGTCGCCGCACCTCACCTCCTCCCAGGAAATGAATGTGCTCCCTTGACTCGTGCTGATGGGGCTGCTGCTGGTGTGCAGCCTGTGCTGTTCGACCTCTGCCACACAGAAGTACACAGAGTCTGGGGCAGGAGCAAGCTCTAAGCTGGCGCTGTGCACCTTCAGATGGAGGCTGGCTGCCATCCTGCCTCAAGAGAGCCTGGTGGAGTGCAGGAGGCACCCTTTCCAGAGGTGGGCATCTGCTGATGTCAGCACTATCAAAGCCACCAATACTTCTCCTTATTGTCACCACAAACATGATGGCAACCTCCCAGGCACGCCTGCTGTGTTGCTGCTGTGTTGCCTGGTCTGGTGCACCCCTCACCCACCTGTTTGCCACATTCGACACACCTTCACCTGCACTGTGCAGGTCAAGCAGCAGCAGGAGGCAGCCGACGGGAATCCGTTCCTGGAGGGCATCTCGCACGAGGGCCTGCGCAGCGTGCTCGGGGCGGTGGCGGCGCGCGACCCCGACCAGGTGCGCCTGCCAGGCGCCGCCTCTCTGCGAACTGAAACTTCGTCCAGCTGCAATGTCTCAGCCATACCGGTCGCCTTACCTTGCCTTTGCGCACTGCAGGACGAGTTCTTGGCGGCGGTCAAGGAGGTGGGCGCCTCGCTGCAGCCCGTGTTTGACCGGCGTCCCGAGCTTCTCAAGGCATTTGAGGTCATGTGCGAGCCGGAGCGCCAGATCACCTTCCGCGTCCCCTGGCTGGACGACAGCGGCGTGCTGCGCATCAACCGCGGCTGGCGGGTACAGTTCAGCTCCGCCATTGGTCCCTACAAGGGCGGCCTCCGCTTCAGGGATGGGGTGAACCTGAGCATCATCAAGTTCCTGGGGTGAGCGCTGCGCAAGGGGTCGGGGCGGGGGCAGCCACAGTCGGGCCGCCGATCTGAGTTGCTTCCGTACACCAGATGAGCTGAGTTTGCCCATGTGCCCATTCGCGCCGCACCAAGCTGCGGCAGCTTCGAGCAGATGTACAAGAATGCTTTGACAACGCTGCCGATGGGGGCTGGCAAGGCAAGTGGTCGCAGAGTTGTTTGCTGTGCTGTTGTGAGCTACTTTGAGCCACATTGGCATCGGTGCAGGGCGGCTCCGACTTTGACCCCAAAGGCAAGTCTGACAGTGAGATCCAGCGCTTCTGCCAGTCGTTCATGACCGAGCTGTACAAGTACATCGGCGGCAGGTGCGCACCGAATCTTGTGGTCAGGCCGGCTGCCCTTCAACCTCCTGCCTCCTGCCCTGCCTCCCAGACCAGGCTCTGCTGCCATCCTGACTGGCAGGACGGACATTCCGGCCGGCGACATTGGCGTGGGTGCCAAGGAAATCGGTTACCTGTTTGGGCAATGGAAGCGCCTGACGGGCCTGTGGACCTCCTCACTGACGGGCAAAGGGTGCGCTGCAGCTGCTGCGAGCGAGCCTCAGCCATGCAGGCCTTGCGCAACCAGCCACCTTTCTTTCCCCGCTCACCCACCCCTTGTCAGCGTGGCCCTCTCCCTGTGCAGGCTGGACTTTGGGGGCAGCGAAGTGCGGCCAGAAGCCACGGGGTTTGGTGCTGTGTTCTTTGCCGAGGCGATGCTGGAAGACCTGGGCGATGGGCTGCAGGGGAAGCGCTGCATCGTGTCTGGCAGCGGGTGAGGTCGCTGCCGCATTCTCAAGGCTGCTGCCCTGGCTTGCGATTGCTTGCCCCCTTTCCTGCCGCTGCCCCCACCCTTATGCCACGACCTGCCTGTGGGCAGGAACGTGGCCACCTTCTGCGCAATGAAGCTGATCGACAAGGGCGGCGTGGTGCTGGCCATGAGTGACAGCAAAGGCTACATTTACGAGAAAGATGGCTTCAGTCAGGAGCAGCTGGACCAGGTGAGACGCATGCCGCATTTCCCGGTGTGGCTGCTGTGGAGAGCAAGGGGCTAATTAGCAACACGTCACAAAGTGTTGCTCATGGTTGGCAGATCGTGGCGATCAAGCGCAGCCACAACGGCAGCCTGGCTGAGTACACGTCTGAAAACGTGCAGTATTTTGGGGACAGGTGGGAATGGCTGATAAACCTTAGTTCAAGTCGTTTGTGACAGCCAGTTGGACGCCAGGTACCTGAAATGACTAACATAATTATTGTTTCGCTGCTGTAGGCGAAAGCCCTGGGAGATTGAAACGAGCATTGACATGGCCTTCCCGTGCGCTACCCAGGTGCATGCTAGCTTGTGCTTTGGTCGCGTCGTGGCAATTGCCTTGCTTGTTTTGCTTGCTTGTGTGGGCTTAAAGTCTGGTAAAAAGGTAAAGGTAAAGGTGGGGAAGAGCCTCCACAAGCTTCACTTCCCGGTTTTAACGTCTAGCTTTAGACCATTATTTGATCTGCCCGACGCGCCAAGTGCAGTACCCCCCACTAGTAGTGAATGGGTCCCGGGGAGGCCTGTGCCGAAGCCTTGGCGATTCTATTAGGCGTTCCCGAAGGAATTGGTAAAGCAAGAACTAGCTTGCAACATAGGCCGCGGCTAAGAAAGGCCTTCTTTGAAGGCGCTGGAGCTAGCGTCTAAACCCTCCGAGAGGGCACAGGTTCGATTCCTCCCATGTCGAAACTTTGTGAAGGACAAACGCGGCATAGCTGACCGGCTCAGCGCCAATCCAAGCCAATTCCTTCGGGAACGCCTAATAGAATCGCCAAGGCTTCGGCAC